TTTTTTTTTTTTTTTAATTCCCTCTCCAGATCATTTTTCTTCCAGGCTTTGTCTTATTTCTGTATCTGGCCAGTCAGATATACTTTTTAAGAGGTTTTTTTTTTTCACTTTTCTTGTTTTGTTTCCTGCCTTCTCATTGTGCTTTGTCATCTCTTGCCATAATGGACTGTTCTTTATTTTGACAACTGCTCTGCTTGTTCGCATTCTTATTTCTGTATATTTGTCTTTTCCCATTAGCTCATACCTCCCAGACAGATCCCTGCTGAAGCACAGGACTACGTGGCTTTTTCCTTGCATATAACAATGTTATGAACTAAAAAATGAACATTGCTAAAATTCGGACCAATGGTGCTTTTGAACAGTCACATTTTCACAAATACAGCACTCTTGGATCTGGTTGTAAATGAAATTAGCAAGTTTTCTGATGTAGTACTCTCAGATGAAGATGTAAATGAAATTATAATTTCATAAGTGTGATTGGTTTGCCTCTTTCTGTAGATATTTTGATTTCCTGTATAAATTAGTGGAATTATTTTCAACATTAGGCATTTTTTGTTAGTCTTCATTTTGTGTGGCCTATGATTTGGAAAACATATTGGAACAACTTGGCGAACACTAGTTTAGCAATGCAGAATACCTGTGAAAACATTGATTCATTCAGCTTTAAAGATTGTTTTCTGATCTTAGTGTGACTTTTTACCTTACTCCCATCTTTAAGTGGAAATTCACAGCTGTATTTATCTGTACTATTGTAGATGAACTTGAAATGCTGTCTGAAGCTAGAGCTCGTCTGGCTAATACACAGGGAAAGAAGGCCAAAAGAAAAGCAAGAGAGAAGCAGCTGGAAGAAGCTAGGTAAACTGATGTGTAGTTTTATATATTGGGACTGCTTTTGCTGACTCTGGAACATTTCCAATGCATAAAGTCATGCACAGCCTTAAGTCTTTGCAGAATTAGACTTTTTGGTAGTAATTTGTGACAAGAGCTTCATTCTTGCTGTATAAATCCGTGCAGCCCTATCACAGCAGCAACTGATTATAAGCGTTACCGGATCTTAGGATGGAGGAGCCACCTACAGGTGTGCGCTTTAAATCACCTAGTGTTACTATTTCTTCAGACGGCTTGCTGCTCTTCAGAAAAGACGAGAACTTCGGGCTGCTGGAATTGAGATCCAGAAGAAAAGAAAAAAGAAGAGAGGTGTGGATTATAATGCAGAAATTCCATTTGAAAAGAAGCCTGCCCCCGGTTTTTACGATACATCAGAAGAAAACTACCAGTCCCTGGATGCAGATTTCAGGAAGCTGCGTCAGCAAGACCTAGATGGAGAATTAAGATCGTAAGTGTGTGTTATACTAAAGAGGGAACAGTATATTTCAGAAAAAAACCCCCAAAAAAACCCACTCAAAAAAAGCATAGTGTTAAGTCTTGGAAATGTCTGAAATACAATGCAAGCAGGAGTTGTCTGAAATACAATGCAAGCAGGAGTTGTATTTTCTGTGGGACAGGTAGTAGTACAGGTTGCTTCTGCCTCTTCAGTCTTGATTTTTTATCTTTCTAAAAGATCTAGTTGACCTTTTTCCCATGAGAATGAAGTTCCTCATGCACATCCTTGATCTTTAAATGGAAATTAAGTTTTTGAGGTTCATTTTCTTTCAGCAGTAGATTTGCTTGTAATATTTGTAGTCCTTTATCCAAGTCATAACATTATTAAGATTGCTAACGCGAGTAGCTTTTACTTGTTGTAGTATTACTTTTCAAGTAGAATGTCCTTAAATGCTTAATTTCTCCCTTTCCCCCAAAAAAATCCCAAAACATGCAGTTGAGAAATTAAATGTGCATTGTCATCATCATCAGTATGGCACATATTTAATTGTACAATTGCATTTCCCACTACTTCTGCCAACTCATTTTTACTGACAGAGTAGGTGCAGTGCTACATACTATTTAGTTTATTAGCTTACGATCCAATTGATTCTTTCTGTGTGGCTCTTAGTTCAGAGTGTCTGGCAGGAGCTTCCAACTGCCATGGATTACTAAATTCTGATTTCATTTGCTGTTTGAAGAAGATACCATTTTTATTAAATACTGAAGAGAATTGGTTGCCATATCCCACAGAAAATGTTCTTTTTCCCTTAGCAGCTGCTAGAGGAAAAGGGAGTGTTCACATCCTCTGATTCTTGCTATCTGAATTCTTGGACTGACATTTTTTCTTGCTGGAGTGACCCTGTTGGTTGTAGCTGGAGCAACCACCTGTTGCCTAATTCCAGAATTTGGAAACATTACACTGCCTTGTTGTAGGTTCTGCTGCAAAATCTGCAGACTGTACCTAATCGCTTAACTTCTGCACCACAAGGTGGTTCACTCTGCCTGCAATGTGCTTTATTTCAGCACATACAATTTTTGATTAGGGTACAGGCTTTTTGCTTTTTGTTGTTTGTTTTATTTTGTGAGTGTTGTGTGTGTTCTAAAATGATTCTCTCATCCATAATAACAGTGAAAGGGAGGGAAGAGAGCGCAAAAAAGACAAACAACATATGAAACGGAAAAAAGAGTCAGACTTACCCTCAGCTATTCTACAGACCAGTGGAGTGTCAGAATTTACCAAAAAAAGAAGTAAACTAGTGCTTCCAGCTCCTCAGGTAAGCTGTTCATTGATCAATAAATGACTTCTAAGGCCAATGCTAATCAGTGATTCCTGTTTTGTCACGTAGATCTCGTGGTTGTATTTTATATCACTATGCCTTGGAATTTTTTTCTTCTAAAGATATCTGATGCAGAACTTGAAGAAGTTGTAAAAGTAGGCCAGGCAAGTGAGATTGCTCGCCAGACTGCTGAGGAATCTGGAATTACAAACTCAGCTTCCAGCACTCTTCTGTCTGAATATAACGTGACCAACAACAGCATAGCACTAAGGACTCCCAAAACTCCGGCAGCACAAGACAGGATTCTGCAGGTAAAGTATAAATATACAGAACGGGCTTTTAGTTTTAGTCCGGTGGTCAACTGAATAAAAGGTGTAAATACCAGAGAAAGATTCCTTAGATTATGCATGGTTCCTCTTCTCTTGGGTACCTCTCAGCACCAAAGATATGTATGGTGTTCATGTCCTTAAAACAATGTCTTTCATGTTGTTTCCTACTTAGTTTTGCTGTTTAGCTTTTATTTTCATTAACAAGAAGTAATGAACTACAACAGTGCAAGAATATTTTCCTAGTACTTTATTGGCTTAAAACCACTTAAGACAAAGATTTTCCAGAAACCTAACTTTGCAACCTCTGAATTATATTTGTATTACAGTGATTGTGTGAGTGTCTGAGTTCTTCCAAAAACTGGTAGTGTTGGGTAATGTTGAGTGTGGAGAAATGGCTAAATGAAATCAGTGTGTTAAAAACAAGACAAACAAAACCAAAAAACACCTACCAACCCTGTCCTCCCCCCCCCCCCAAAAAAAAAAAAAACCAAACCAAAACTCCACCCCAAAAACCCCACCCCAAAATTAAAAAAAAAAAAAACCCACATATTTTGATGATGAGTTGTATTTCAGCAGTTTCATGATAGGAGAAAAGAGAAGGTTCGTGACTCTACAGATCATGACCTGAGTCTCTGTGCAGTGTTTGGAGGAATCGTCACGTTCGCCTTCAGACGGAGTACTGACATCACATATGTTGCAGTGTAATGCATATGCACTGTTCTGTAGGTGGATTAGTAGTTGTTTGTGAAGATAATTGCTATATGTAGTATAGCATGTAGTATAGTAATAGTAGTTTCATTATCTCAGCTCATTTTCAGAGTGCCTTAATTCTTCATTATAAAAAGGGAAAATAAAATAAAAAATAGGCAGGTATTCATAAAAGTACCCAATGGAGTCATAGACCGAAAATCTGAATAGTGACCATCTCTTTTGGAACATTCTCTTTGAAGTGCAGTTTGGATAAACTTCATTGATGTCGGATTTCAGAGTGCAGGTATACTGTTCCCTCTGAAAATCGGGATCCTTGAGACGGCTTGAGTGTTCAATCACTAGTAAATCTTGCAGATTTATGGAGTCTAGCAAACTGAAGGCAGTGAAACATTAAGCAGCCCACTCATTTTGCATCTCCAATTTATAACACATATTACTAGAAATTGAAGTTAAAATCACTTTCAGTGGAATAGTAAGGTTTGTAAATACCAGTGTATGGGTGTTAAAAATGTTAAAACATTTTCCATAAACTGATTGATATGCAAATAAATCTTCAGCTGTTCTTACTGCTACTGAATCTGTTAAACAAGTGTAGTAGAGTGTGACTGTGAAGGTCTCAGTGATGCACTGCTTGTGTTGTCTCTTACACAGGAAGCACAGAATTTGATGGCTCTCACAAATGTGGATACCCCCCTGAAAGGAGGTCTTAACACTCCCTTGCACGAAAGTGACTTTTCAGGTGTAACACCACAGAAACAGGTTGTTCAGACTCCAAATACTGTGCTTTCCACACCCTTCAGGTAAAGCAGACTTTTTCTAACGGGTGCTTGGCTGGGCATGTATCTAGTGGTGGAGGGAGTGGATTTTGATGTGTGAAATAGTAGGTCATGATCAGTGCTTCAAAACAAATTTTAACCCGCTTTTGCGTCAAGGCCTCCTTGTACGACTTTCTCCTCCTCTGTCTTTTGCAAGCTCAGCCACGTCATCTTCATGTATATTTGTACAGTGTGTAGCTCACTGGAATTTTGGTCCAAAATGAGGTCTTCTGTGGTCTGGAGCAATATAAATTACACTGGAGTAATACAGGAGTATAAATAGTAAGGTGGAGTGTCATTCTGTATGTGGATCTTAGCCTTTCCCGAGTATTACCTCTTGAGTCAAAGGTGTGGGAGGTCCCTTAAGCCAAACCCACACTGAATTTTTGAAAAGCTGGAGTAAATATTTTATAAGCCATATATATCCAAAATGAAATATTTCTTATATTGCCAATCTAAATAGTATGGAATTGCTGGTTTAACTCTTACAGTGGGTCCTGAATAAATACATATCCCACCCACAAATGCTAAATACCATTCAGCTAAAAAATATTACACTTGGTACATTTTGTCTGTCAATTTTTTCAACTTATGTTCTAATTTTACTTGTATCATGCTAGTAGGAAAAGTGGAGAATGAAATAAAAAGGACCTTTATGGCAGCTTTTCTAAAGCAGCTTTATTTCGTTGTTTAAAAGCTGTGTGTAAAAGCTCTGCTCTTTTAATTGGATTTACATAAACGAATCCTTTTCTGGAGATCTATTGGCGTCAGTGTGGTGGAGAGTGAATGCAGAGTTTGATCTGGAGTGATGTGGCTGTTGATTTGGGTTATTTTATGTTAAAAAATGTAAAGACATTCTAATTTTGTTGTTTGCTTGTTTGGTTTTTTTTTGGTGTTGCTGGTTTTTTAGCTTCTGAAGTTCATATTTGAACATGTAAATATGGTACCTGTGTATCAACTTGGCTTGCTTGAAGTAATGCTTTATCAGTGTGAAAATCCAAGACCTGGACAAGAGAGAAGAAAAAAAAACCTCCATTAAGTGGTTAAAAACAAACAAACAAAGGGAAGCCATAACTTTTTAAGGAGGCAGAGTAGTGAAGCAGAGCCACCATCTTATTATTTAGGCCAAAAGAGCAACTATTTAATTACGGCTTTTTTTCCTTTGCTATTATAAAACTTGTAATATTTTGATGCGAAGATTCTATGGAAGTTGTTGCCTTGCATTAGGTTTTTTGTTTTGTTTTTTTTTTCTTCATGTCCTAGTTATAAGAAATTTCTTAGAAGGTATTAAGTTGAAAATTGTAGTAGGATTTTAAATGCTATATGGAACTGCAACAACTCGAAAAAAAACCAACCCACGTACTTGGAAATTGTTTCTTCTGGGAAGTCAGCATAAAACTTATTCTACTAGTACAATCACCAAAGTAAATACATTCTGTGAAACTTTCATTTGAAAACATAAAAATTAATTTTACTGTTTTTTATGGGTGTCATCCTGCAAATGTTATTGCTTGTATTTTTTATCCTAAATTAGAGTTCATTAAAAAAATCTGTGAACATCCTCAAGTAAGAGGAAAGTATCACTTACCTCTCACAGACATACCCAGTAAATAAGGCACTGTTGTATCCCTTAAAAGAGGACCTGTAGTGTGTGTCAGGCCGCATGTACAGTTGTGTTTGTGCACCATTGTGACATCTTACTGGCACTACAGAATTACAGTAACTAGTAGTGGAAATGATGTATTAAATCGTCTTGTCCAGGCTGTCTCTGCCAGGGTTATTCTCTGGAGCACACATGCTTGTTGCTGTTGGAAAATATTTATGTAGGTATGGATGAGTACCATAATGTAGACTTTTTTCTAAATTTTTGCCCTTCCTGAAGTTTTCTTTGAGATGTTTAACATTGTCTTACCAGTTTATTATCATTATTATCATTACTATGTGAAACCTCATTATAACCTGGCAATAGAAAGCTCATGACTATATACAAGGCAATGTCTGCACCCCTTTCATGTAGTAGGTTATTGGGAAAGAGAACAATCTTTCTTCCTAGTCTAGAGGAGAAGCAGCTGAAGCCCATGAAATCTAAGACTTAATCCATCTTGTCTAACCTTTGGTGCTTAAAAGTAATTATTGTAATGTAATTACTCATTCAATAATCAGTGAAAGCAAAGAGGCATCTTCAGAGTGATTAATTCAGTGGTAAGATGGGACAGCTGTTAAGGCAGATGAATTCAGAGTGAATTATTTGCCACAGGTGGTAGGGAAATCAGAGCTTGCAATTAAATCCTGATTACTATATCCCAGAATAGTGCCTGGTGACTGGATAATTTCTTCTCTCAAAAGTAGCAGTGGGAGTTTGTGTTGATGTAGCTCCTGAAACTTCTCTTAACATAATGATGTGCTTGGATTTCAGCTTGACAGTTGCTTGGGTACACCTTGGCAGATTTAAACTTTTTTTTTTTTTTAATTCTTCTAATTGCATATTATGTTTTCACTGCATCCCAAGAAAAAAAAAATCCAGATTGAATTTATTAATGGTATTTATGTAACATTTTGACGCATTCAGACCTTTGTAAGTAGAGCTCTTTCAGAAAAAAAAATAAATTACTGTGTCCCCACTTCCTCTAGAACACCTTCTCATGGATCAGAAGGCTTAACTCCTCGTGGAGGACTAACTCCTAAACCTGTGGTTGGTACAACTCCTGGTAGAACTCCACTGCGTGATAAATTAAACATCAACCCAGAAGAGGGAATGGCAGATTACAGTGACCCATCTTATGCAAAACAAATGGTAAGAAAAACGTAAGAAGTGGGAAAGTCAATGCTCTATTAATTTCAAGGATTTTTAATTCTCATCTCCTGAACAGAATTTTATTTTGTAGCAAGTGTTATTTCTACTACTTGCCTACAGGTGTGTACTCATCTGGTAAAATCAGATCTATTTGAAAGAACAGAAATCTTGCCACTTAGAACAGCTTTTGGTGTGCACAGTAAAAGCACTCTAAAGCTATTTGTCAAAGAAGACATAGTTAAGTTTCAGTCCTGCTTATATCTTTGAAGCTGGTCAAGAAATATATCCCAAGGAAAGATTCATTTTTCTTGCAATCCTACACAGCCCCAAAGCCCTCAAATCCCTCATCATCTTGATTCTCCAGTCTACCTACAGGACCTTTTCATCAGTCCTCCTGTTGACAACATTGAGTTAAAGGAGTTTAATTTTTGCCATTAGGAGCACTTGGTTTTGAGATGTCCAGTAATCTGAGTCCCATCCAGATTCTTTCATCACCTTTGGCAACAGATGTTTCCATTCTTGGAGTTTCAGCCAGATGTACGCTGCCAATTAGACATGGCATAAAAGGGCATAGACCTAATAGGTAGCACCTTGGGAACTCCTTTTATGTGGCTGATTCCATGGCCTCAGCTGTGACTTTGGATATCTCCCACCAGAGCTATTGACATTTTTCTTTTTGGGCTAGCTAAGGGTACCTACTTCAAGTTTTTGGCGTGTTCTCGCAAAAATAACTCTTCAAGTTCAGAATTTTATATTTTCTCTTAGCTGGAAGGATGAGGTTTATTCAGTGTCCTTATATTTAGTTTGTTTCCGTTTTAGCCTTTTCATAGTAAAAAGGCTTTTTGCTGCTAAAAGGAAAATTATGGCTTCCAATTTCCTGGTGGACTCCAGTGCTTTCCAGATCAGGGGCTGTTTGTCTCATTTTCATACTGTGTCACAATCTCCAGATTTGTGAGCAACAGGAAGGAAAAGAGTTCCAGTTAGGCTTGATGGACCCCTGTGTCTATCACCACTGTGTTCACATTTTCACATTTCAATTTCTTGAAAAGTATTAATGTGAGTCTCCACTGTTGTACTGAAACTACTGGGAAGCGAAGGTGCCGTGCTGTTTTACCTGAGTGTATTTCAGCCTGTTTGAAGATTTCATTAGCCATCTTTAAGAAAGCTGTTTGTTTTTCAGTATCAGAGAGTTTCTGTACCAGACTGGATTAGTAATGTACCTTTTTTGTCAGACTTCAAAGAGTTTGTTTCTGTTGGCTTTGTAGCAGACTAAGATTACCAAATTATAGTAGTTGCGTATTCTTCATGTCTGTTAAGGGGATTTGGTCATATTGCATTTTAGAGCATGAATTCAGAAGCATTATATCTTACTGTTATGTCAACAGGAAAGGGAGTCTCGTGAACACCTGCGCCTTGGACTCATGGCCCTTCCAGCTCCAAAGAATGACTTTGAGATTGTTTTACCTGAAAATGCAGAAAAAGAACTTGAGGAGCATGAAGTAGATGAAGCCTTTGTAGAAGATACTGCTGATATAGATGCCCGCAAGCAGGTAGGTGTGTGTGATGCAGATAGTGCCTTTTGTTTAAAATAAAATGTTTATTGTATGGTTCCTATAGTTTCATATATGTTTAATGGAAGTGGTACAGCTTTTACAGAAAAAGTAAAATGTACGTGTTTTGTGTGCTGCCATCAGAGTATACACACAGGCTAAATAAATTGTGTCTCTGAATCCTTTTCTTAATTTGTTAATGGTATGTATCGAACATCATTTTCTGCTTTGAGGACTCTAAGGGTGTTTATGTCCTACTTCCTGTGCTTGTCCCCCAAAAGGTGAAAATATAATTAAAAGCATTTTTCTAGAGGCACGTGCTTGATTTTAAGCACATGAGAACTGTGGGGGGGTTTGTTTTTTTGTTGGTTTTTTTTTTTCAGTTTCAGGTTATTCTCTCAAGGTTTGTGAAATTTAAGACAGGTGTATACAAATTCATCCAGGCTGGTAGCACACCGATAGCAATCTGCCATGCACTAAATTGGTTCCTTTTGCATTACTTGTACCACAGGATTTCCCAGATGGCCAAGTGATGAATGGGTCCCTGTTTTTTTGTTTTGTTTTGTTTCAGAATCAGGGAAGGCTGGGTATAGTGCTAGTTTAAATTCTGCTGGTTAAACAGCTGTACTAGCCAGTAATTAGAGACAGTTTACATTTTTCTGTTTATAAGAACAGTTTCTTTTCCATTTATTGCTTACCCTAATTTTTGTGATGCAAATCTGTTTTTGTTATATAACTTCAAATAAATGGTTTTTTTTGAGTTCAGAGGGTTTTTGCCAATAACTGTGCTTTGACAAGTGAACAAAATATATTTAAAAATCCTATGCTCTGATATCTTCTAATATGATAAACATTTCCCAGAATTTGATTTCTAGTGTGTCCCATTTGGGGAGAAACACATTATATACATATATATGCATGTCTCATGCATACACATGCACACACACTAATAAAAAGTCTGAATAAAAAGAGAGAATTATGTATGTAGAATAGAGAAAATAATTTTAGTTGTAATATTATACAAGAGAATAGCATCCTGCTTTTCAAATGAAGGCATGACATGGCTGAGATTAGAACACGCAAGATCTTGGTCATTGTTCCTGAATTTTAGACAACACTGCCTTTTCATGTTATTTATTGCCTGAAAGTGGAATGTAAGGAGAAATTGCATGATTTTACACTTTCACAAGTATTGTTTTAGTGAAGTAATTATTTCATGTCATTGAAGAGGACAAATAGAGTCCTGGCTGCAAATGTAAGAGTTTTTCTTTTCCTAGTGGATTTTGTGTCTGGAGAGTTAGGGCAGTTGTCAAACTTGATGTGGAAAAATCTGTAAACAACAAAGTCCGCTGGGGTTGAGACTGAAGGAGGATTTGATGGCTGGAAATTACTTTTTAGATTATCTCTCTTTTTAGAGTTAGTTTGCTGTGCTCTTCCCATTTACTGTCAAGGCAGTAAATTATGTCGTCGTATAATTTGGCTCTGGCTTCATAACATTACGTCTTTATACTTTAAGGAATCTTTGCTGCAATAATCAGTTAGTTTTTATATCACGCACGTTTCTAGGAAGCATCTGTAATAGCTGGAGTAACACTTAACTTGTTTTTCTAGGCACTCCGAGAGGCAGAGCGTGCAAAGGAACTGAAGAGAATGCACAAAGCTGTCCAGAAGAACCTGCCACGGCCCTCAGAAGTAAGTGGAAACAAAATTCACTCTTAAGGAAAAAAATAGAAATAAAGGTTTTAACCATTATAGGATGAAATACAGTCTAAGTAGATCATGAGAGAATTAAATCTTTGAGTATGCTAATTTCAGTGTTACAAGAAACTTTCACAGCGAAATTGTCATGAAGTATTTCATATGCCCAAATGAAAACACAATTGAGTGTTCAGGTTCCTGTATGTGTGTCACACCACAAGGGATCTTGGCACCTGTTCTCCATGGTTTAGCTGATACATAGAACTCATACACAGGTGGAGGTATATGAATTTAATGTGAGCTTTGGTGTATATGATGTTTATTAACTTTTTTTTTTTATTCCTGGGCAGGTTAATGAAACAATACTGAGACCTTTAAATGTGGAACCACCTCTGACAGACTTGCAGAAAAGTGAAGAGCTAATAAAGAAAGAGATGATTACTATGCTTCATTTTGATCTTTTACACCACCCATTTGGAGAACAGCCTAGTGGTAAGAAGGGGAAAGGCCCAGGATTTGGAAGCAACAATGCAGAACATATGGCTTACTTGGAACAAAATCCTTATGAGAAGTTCTCCAAAGAGGAGCTCAAGAAGGTGAGAATTGTGTGGCCTGATTACCAGTGACCTAATGTCTCCTTATGCCATGGTCCTGTAATCTTGCAAAAAAAGGTGGATTCAGGCCTGCACAGAATTTAGTTGGGAGATCTCCAGAGGGTTGTACAAAGAGCTATAAGGATAATTTAAGTGCACATTCTCTTTTCTGTGAACTAGTGTTAATCTCGGCACTCAGCAGAATGATGAGGATGCTGTATTTGTCCAGAGACATTGTCTTTTAGGTACAATTTTGAATGTGTTGTGATTGCCTGTCATTTTAAGTAAGGGTAGGAGCTGTAATACCTGAAAAGTTACCAAATTCTACTTTGCTGTTCCTGGAAACTGATGTTAAATCATTGAGACTTGAATTTAGGTGTGATATCCACCTTCTGCTGCCTGTGTAGTTTGTTAATCCAGAATTACTAAGTGTTCTTTTTCATAGCAGTGCAGACTAAATATCCCAGTGGTAGCCAGTTTATAGCTTGCAGCAGCAAATCAAGTTGTTTAATTATGCTTGTCGAGCTTGATCCAACAGAGCTGTGCTAGTGCAGAGCCTGCTGGGCTGTGGCAACTGATCTTAAAGCATACCAAGTTAAAAAGCGCTGAATAGGCAGAAAGGTTGTTGCTGGATGAAATGAGTAGGCTGTCTGGGCACTCTGTCCTGTTTTGCATTGTAATCCCAAGTTAAATAGCAGTCCTGTACCAAGGGTTCCGGTTCGGGTCGTTCATTTATTTAAGCAGCTACAGATGTTGCATTTTCCTGCCAAGTGTCAGATAGACGGTTGAGACACACAATGCTGTGGTTAGCTCTTTCAACGAGTTTCACCTGTGAAGTTGTGCCAGTAACCTTTGACCAAATGCTTACAGGAATAAAAATGAGTGAAAAGGACAAAATCATGTGCCACCAAGTCATCTGTTTTACGCAGACTCCTGGTATCCGAGACTTGTGTTCTGACAATAGCCGTGGTATCTCTACACCTAAATCCCGTATACTTTAAAGTGACTGTAAAGATATACAAGCAGATTTTAAATCAGTCTCCTTGACTATATATGACCCATGAATCAAGAGCCTAAAATGAGAAACACCGAACAGTATGTACTTCCAGTTTGCTGTTCAATGAAATATTATACTTGAAGATTTCTGAGCAGGAGAAGTTAAAGATGGAAAATACAGTTAGATCATTAATTTCTCTGTTTGTTTTGAAGTCCAACAAGAATTGGGTTTTCTGTCACTTCCCTTAGAGGCTATTAGACAGTCCAGTAGTTTTTGTCTGGAAACTTTCTTCAGCATCCCTGGAAGTTTTGTCTTCTAACTGATAGGCAGACATTTTTTGCATCCTTGCTCCTGCTTGCTCTCTGACACTCAGGGTAATATTCCCTTATTGTCTCAAATCAAATTCAAACCAGGAGTTTTCCTATCTCTGCACTCTCATCTGAATCTTGTTTATTTTGCTTTATTTCTTCATTTATTTTTAGAACATCTTCCTACTAAAATCCCTTCATAAAATGCTCCTTTCTTTTCCTGGTGCTAAGCTCTTAAATCTGTGGAACTGTTTTGGTGCCACAATTAAACAGCCTTAAGTAGTTCCTCGCAGTGTACAAATATGGGCTAACTGAAAGCGAACCTTTATAAGATTTGGCTTTTGTCAGGTGTGGTTAGGGTACTATTTTATCTTTCTTGACCATCGAGGACAAGTAATTATTTTTCCTTTCCATGGTATCCCTGGAATCATTTAATCTGGTGATACCTGAATTACTTCCTGGGCAATTTGCTGTTATAAAATATAGGTCTGCTTGCAGTGAGATAGCTACTGCTGATAACGGAAATTTGTGGTGCATGTATAAATCCTGTTGAAAGAGAAGATGCGCACTTATAGCCGATGAAGTCCGGATTGGCAAAGATATTTTATCATTTTAGTTACAAATAAAATTGGAAGGCCCTGGGTGCCTGTGTCATTTTGTGGGCCAGGCTCTTTGTCTGAATTATTAAAAGTTGTGAGAACAACACGAATCTTTTACAGTTCACTGTAAGTTACTTTGTAAACTAAACTGGAAACGGCAGAATACTCAGATCTCACTAGTAGTTCTCTAGCAACAGAATGTGTGTTAGTTAGAGTAGTGTTTCCTGCAGTGCAGCTTATACAGCTCACCCTTTAATGTTCAGAGTTGACTTCCCAGGTTGCATGGAGAAGGGCAACCAAAAGGAAATGAAAAGTGATTTTTTGTTTCATAGAACAGCTGCTTCTGTCTGTACAGTTCTCCCTCCTCTCAAGGTCCTTCCTTTTATCTCTTTTCTTCTGCAGCAAGATGAGGTATCTAGCTGTGCCACAGCTTTCATTAGCTCCAGCAGAGTGATGTCAGGTTTGGCCAAATTATATAAAATGAGGGATAGTTGCACTGAGAGTAGCCTTCTAGCCTGGGTTTCATTTGTAATCCACAGCATCTGTGTTAGATTTCATAGTTAGCTTAACCTGATGGTGAGCTTTTAGTATGAAAAGAGAAACTGCCCCTGTGAATTGCGTGCTGAAGGATTGAAAACGAGGAATTTTCTTGTATCTCTGTGTATTGTAACTACAATTTATTTTTCATCATTTCCAACAGGCACAGGATCTACTGGCACAAGAGATGGAAGTGGTAAAGCAAGGAATGGGGCATGGAGAGCTCTCAAGTGAAGCTTACAACCAGGTGTGGGAAGAATGTTACAGCCAAGTGTTATACCTGCCTGGACAGAGCCGCTACACAAGAGCTAACTTAGCCAGCAAAAAAGACAGGATAGAGTCACTTGAAAAGAGGCTTGAGGTCAGTGTTGATTTTTTTTCTGCTTTTTGCACCCACTTTTTTTTTTTCCTAAAGTTTCTCCCTTTGTGTTTTGTTTCTTTTTTGTGTGTAAGAGTTACAGGATACTTTATAAATAATTCAGGTCTTTTGGTGGGATTCCTTTGAGAAGGTTGTTGAGGAATTCTCCTAGGGAGTTCAGAGATGTTCTTGAGGTGTTTAAATTGCCTTCTGTCATCCTCCTCCTGTTCTTAAAATATCCCTAGAGTATTCACACACACAGTTTCTCATTGCACAGTTAGCTGTAACACTGCTCACCTCACCCACTTTTATTCTCAACTGGAGAGAAGGTCAGGTTCTGCTCTCTCTTAATTCCATGTGGATTTTTAGCTATTTTCATAATCTCTGCTATTAGCAGATCAGATACCTGATCTTTCTAGTTTTTCACTTTGTCCCTGATAGTGGCCAACATGAGATACTTCAGAGAAAGATGCTTAAAAACAATGCCTCTGTCCCAAAACTCCTCGCAAGTTCTCTTTCCAACTTAAGATTTGTTTTCTGACTGACTACTATATACGTGAAGGTCCAGATTGTCCTGAATTCTTGCCAGACTGGTGTTCTCTGCCAATTCCAGTGATTCCCTCCAAAAAAAGAGAACAAGGCATGTTTGTGATCCCATTCCACTTTATCAGGAAACTGTAGGTTTCCTTATAGGTGCATTTTAAACTCGAATTTTGAGTTTGTTGTTGTGTATTTGCCTAACTAGTATCTTTTGCAAGTACGAAATGCCAGAGTTCAAATAGCAACATCTCACCAACGTGTCTGCATGCACTTTGAGTACTATGGCGGGGCACTGGTACTAAGGGACTAAGAAATGAACCAGATCTTTTTCTGCTGAGTTGTAAGAGTACAGCATTCTCCAGTGTCAACATACTTGCATTGGTTTATTCAAAATGCAACAGGAACAGGCCTTAACGAGGAACAGGCTTCCCAGGGAAGTGGTGGAGTCACCATCCCTGGAGATGTTCAAGAAATGTGTAGATGCGGTGCTTAGGGACATGGTTTAGTGGGTTAGGTGGTGTTGGGTTGACGGTTGGACTTGATGATCCTTGAGGTCTTTTCCAACCTTAATGATTCTATGATTAAGATTTGGTAAGGTGTGTATGGAGAGGAAATCATCTGAGGCATGGTGCACTAAGTAGAAGATTCAAACCTTTTGACACTGATTTCCCTATCTGCTCTCTAGAGTGTCACCCAAACAGTCCACACAAAACACAAAAATACACAGCTGTCATGATAAAAGGTTAAGCTGGTTTTAAATTGTTTCTTCCCAGAGAACGTGGATTTGTTCAGACTTGCAGTAAGTCATTGACTGTTTTCCAAAATACCATTTTAGCCTAAAAGTCTCTCTAAATTATGCAGACATGAGATTATTTTTTTCCACGGTAAAAGGAAACTTTAAAAAAAAGTTCTTTCCTATTTGACATCAACATAGCTACCGTTGCTGGAAGTAAACCTCCTCAAACAGCTACTACCACAGAAATAACAAGAGAAAGAGGCCAGAAAGGCTGAATTTTCACTTGCTTCATACACATGAAATACAGCGTGACTGTGTGTTTTGTAAAGGCTGTCAGTCAAGACCATGGTCCAGGTATAAACTCCACAGTTGTTAGTCAGCCACTCGGGCCAGGAGCAGTTGACCTGCACGTAGCCCGGTAGCTGAGCAGTTTTAACACTAATGGCAGAGCCCTTGTCGTGCTGCTGCTCACCCAGCAGAGAGCACCATTGCCCTGCCCAACGCTGCCCGCGGGCTGACACACAGCATCTGAGCTCGGCGGCAGCAGCCAGCTTGCACGGCAGCAGGGGCTGTGCTGGCATCACGCCAGCAATCTGAAGGCTGTACCTAATTTGCGTACAAATGCTTTTGAAATCTAAATATCTTATGCCCAGAATTGCATTAGAAGCGCGTTATTAAAGTTGCAAAATCAAACAGTTGAAGTTAGGGAATGCACAAGCAGCCAGAATTTGCCGATGCATATGCATTATGAGACAGTCTTTAATTTCATAATTACAGCCTAGTTTTTCCACAGACTCATTTGTTGCACGGGGTGGATGGTACTTGCTTAATGAGTAGCTGTTGAATATTTTGTTTTCTCTTTATTGTTCGGTGTGTGGCCCTGTGCCTTTATGCTGTGCACTGTTTCCGAAGTCTGAATCAGTTACTTCTGTGTGGGCTTTCTTGTGCTGTTGATTTCTGCTCATCTCCTCCCAGTATTTGAAGGAGTAGTTGGTGGTATGCTTATTACGGATATTGAAGCAAAGAAAGGTTGAATCATCCATTCATCAAACTCCTGTTGCATTTGTTCATTAAGTGCTCATTGCTTTGTAGTCACAAGACAGTCACCCAGGAAGCAAAATGCAAATTGGAGGTCTGGCCAAGAAAAAAAATGGGTTTCATTCGGTACCAGGACTGCCTGGGACTCCATGGAAAACGGTGCCTATGATCAGTTGTTCTGAGCATGAGGCTCCATGTCTTGCTAATGTAGCTACATCTCTTCAGATGAGCTGGGAGCTTGGAGTGCTGCTAGACAGGGCTCATGGCTTGGTGCACTTGCAGTAAAGTGAGAGAGCAAGCTTGTGCCTGTGTTCAAAATACCACGCACCCCAGTTCAGCCAGGCACCAGGGCCAGCAGAACTTGCTGTGCCCTGCAGCTGCAGTGAAAGTGCTGCGCTGCCTTTCACAACTCACTCTTTGCTGAGTGCAGGTGAACTCTTTGTGACGTTAAATTTGAGCTGAAAATCTCTCCCAAGTGTATACAAAATGCAGTTTAGTGCAGCTCTGTTGCCTGACCTGTTTAAAACACTGCAGAGCTACTCATATCAGAAACGGGAGTTTTCTGGTGCTCACAGTTGCATTTAGTAACTCCTTCAGTTCTCTGCAGTACCTTGCGCTCCCTTCTCTTCAAGCAATATATTTACAAAGAAAAGCATATATTTATAAAGAAAAGCACCTACCTAATGTACCTGTATGTTAAACTAGGAGCCTTATCAGATCGCAGGAGGCAGCAGAGGCATCTGTTTAACAAGCTAGTTGCTTTGCTTTGTAGTTCACAACATAGAAACTTCCTGCCAGCATTACTTTTCCTTTGAAGACTGTTCATAATGTTGTCTTGCAGCATACAAATATTTTTACTAAAACTGTGGTAGTTAATGTAATCATTTGAGTTGATTGCTAAATTATGAACACTGTTGAAAGTCTCCAGGGGAGGAAGCTTTAGTTACACTGTGTACACAAGGCATGGTAAATTATCTATTCTTTGCAGTATCCAGAATACACCAAGGTGATAATATACCAGACCACAGTGTCCATTTTTGCTTTTTGTTGCAGCCCAACTTCTCTGAATTAATTTACATTGAAAACCGGTTGCTTAGCTGGAGTTTTATGGGTTGCATGTTACACTCTGCTGCAAGGTGCATCACATACTAGTTTACTGGAGATTGTGTTTTCATTTCTCTCTAGTTTACATGCTTCTGAAGCTTGCAGTTTCTTTTGGGTTTTCAGATGTGCTGTTACTGAGAAAACACCTGAAGAAAATAAGAATTTAGAAGACTAGGAATAGAGAAATTACTCATAAAACTAAAATACTCTGGAATCCCTGAGTAGTCTGTTTTTATGGACACATTCATTTGTACTACTGTGTTACCTTTGTGAAATATGTCTTAAGTTTTTTTTTAATAAGGTCTGTTTGACATGTAGGTGACACCGGAGGATCACATCTGAGGGTTACCAGTGGTCTTCACTGTGAAGTTGTTCAGAATCTGATAGAGCTGACTGTGTATGCAAGACCACTGTTGCAGTGTCCAATTTCTGTTTAACGTACAGTTGCTTGTCAGAGTACGTGTATTTAGCGCGGCAGTTTCGGAGGGTATACTTCTCCTGGGCAACGCAGATGTATGGCACATCCCTTAGGAACTGTCTTTACCTGTGTGTGAAGATACTTTTACTGTTTACCAGAATGCTTAGCATGCGGTTTATGATATAGCTAGGATGCTCTTAACATTTTAGCTGATGCCCAAGAGGGACAGTGCTACTTATTTCTGTCCAGCTGGCCCCTGCCATTACCTCTGACCTTGTACCAGTGCTCTTGTAAATCTGTTGTAACCTGCATCCCTTCACTGAATTGTCAGAAAATTAATTTTTTTTTTTAGATTAAGCAGCAGTAGCTAGATGTTAGATCAGCTTAGCTGTAGCACTTAACATATTTTATTGCCGAATTTCGGAATATTTGTGATATCCACAATGAAGGTGACCAGTAAGCTTTAATGAGGAAAGCAATAAATAAAAGTTTTTATATTGCCAAGGATAGCTTATGTCTACAGTAAGAAAAAATACCCTGCCAGAGAAGATAAACAAATTTAGCCAGAGATCTTGTGTTTTCTTTCTAGCACAGGTGAGTATTCTTTGCCTGTTTTTAAGCAAGTCCCATGAGTTCAGGCTCAATACACCTTATTTTAGCCTCCTAACTAAAACAAAGCTGCAATTGCCTTAGGCTCGCTTTGTTTTCGGTAGAGAGATGAGGCACCTCCTGAGGGCAGTGTGGCCTGTTTAAGAGTTGAATTTCCCTCTTGAGTTTCCTGTTTTTCTCTTTTTATTATAGAGGCACCCAGAGCACCTCAGATCAGTGGAGCAAAACTAGGTGTTAATGTCTCCCTTGGTTCCTCTGTTCTTGGTTCCTCATCTACCCTATAGGGCTCTGTAGTTCTGTTTGCAAAGCACTTGTCGACCTGTGACTGAAAATCACTACTTAAAACTGCTAAATCTTTAAGTGTAGTTGTACTACCTGGAAAGTAGTTGTCTTTTCCATTTACTACTTGTTGAGTCAAGCTGGAGCTTTACATTTTCGAGTGTTAAAAGTCTTGGGGAAAAAAAACCTCATTGTTCACTGTCCTTTAGGTGAATTAGCTTATTACATCATTGGTTTTCCCTACTTTCCCATTTGCAGTTACCATCTACCCCCTGAAAC